AGGGAGGGAGGGAGGGAGGGAGGGAGGGAGGGAGGGAGGGAGGAAGGAGATGGGCAAGCATGTTGAAAGAGTACAGGAGCTGACCTGAAACACCTCTCAATGACCAAATTCGGAACTTGTCCAACAAAATAGCATTATTAGATTACAACCCAAGTAACTCAAAAAAATTCATGAATCCATATGGAAATAAAAAAATAACCGAATAAAGAAGTGAATAATGAAGACGCAGCTCTTCCTTGAAAAATTCCAATTAAAAAAGAAAGAATGAGGGAAGCAGAAAAATCACCATTATAATACCAGTAATAATTGTCATGGGCAGGATCCAGGGATGGAAGCTAAGGTTAGTGCACAAAGGTAAAAGCAGAAACAAAATATTCCCAAGGTTTCAAAACATTTAGTAATTACAAAGGGGAGTCAGAGTGAAAAGTCCTGGCAGACTTGGCCTTAACCGGGCCATGGAGGTTAACATCTTGGGGACGCACAGTGACACCACTGTAGGAAGTACTGGGGCGGCACATCGCCCTGTTGCCTTTTCCTCAATACCATAACAACTTCAACGTGATCATGACAGAACATTAGACAAACCCAAATCAAGGGGCCCTCTAACCACTCTTCAGCAGTGTCGGGATCATGAAACAAAGGGGGCTGAGGAATAGTCACAGACTGGAGGAGCCTGGACAATTCAATGCCACATTTTGATCCTGGATTTGGTCCTGGAACAGGAAAAGGAATTGGTAGAAAAATTGGTAGAATCTGAATAAATTTTGCAGCTTAGTTTAAAAAAAAAAAATGGGTCACTGGTTCAATACTGTCACCCACTCTTAGCATCAAATGATTAGTAAAGACCCAAAGGCCCAAGGAGTCTGGGAGAAAGATCACAGTGAGTTCTCGATGGGAAAGGAGGACACAGTCCTTACTTATGAGGACGGGATGGCTCTGACCCAGACCTTGAAGGATCACCGTACGACAACCAGTAGAAATGAGTAGAGAAGAGATTTGGGTCAGGTCCGGGGGTAGAGATGGAGCAGCAAGTTTATCAAAGGTTTAGCAGCGGTAAAATGCAAAATGTGTTCGGTATTCACCGTGCAGGTTACCAAAGAGAAAATGCCCTTATGGGTTTGTTGAGTGATTAGTATGGAAAGGCAGGCTGAGACCAACACATGGCCTCAAACGGCAGCCGAAGAAGTCAGTGCTTTATCCTAAAGGCCCTGGAGAGCCACTAAAAGCTTTTTATAAGTAGGAAGTAAAACATTATGAAACCTCCATTTTATGAAAATGAACTTGGCCATGGTAGGCAGACCACATGGGGTGGGCAGCAGAAGACAATTAAGGTAGACAACTTCTATGGTGGTCTACATATCCAGTTATAGGTTTAAGACGTCATCAGGAGCTGATTGCAAACATGGAGAATTGATAAAGGGGCAGCGCATTTCCAAATTTACCCATTTCTAAGTCTGTGTAAATGGAGAGCTCCAGCAATAATACTGCCAGTCACCACCCAGGTTCAGGGTGAGATGCAGGAGCATCTCTGCAGTGCTGATTCCATGCTATGAAATGAGAGTCCTTATAACGCGCCCCCCCGCTCCCAGTTAAGTCCTTTTTGGTGGTGGGAAAACTGATTCTTCATTTGTTTCCCCAACTATACATTAAAGAAGGGCCAAAGATCCGGAAAGAAAAAAAGTGCTTCGGGAACCATGGTCACATTTTTCCCTGCCAGGGGCCCTCGTGTGAGCATCCGTCTGTAGAGACTGCCTGCCTTGAGAAGTCTCTGACTCCCACACCGTCCCAATCCAGAAACAAAACAAAGAAAAAATGACAGTCTTAAAATCCCAGTGAAATTGAACTTCCTTTAAGTATTTGTTTGCTAATTACTATTGCATGAGTAATTACTCTCAGTACTACAGATACCTCTGCTCTATGGAATAGAAGAAGGAAAGAGCAGGGAGCTGGTGGGGAGGGGGTGTAGGGAGCCAGAGAGAGAGGAGCCAAAGGCAAATTTCACCTACTTCACAAGGGTGCTGTGGGCTCCTTGGATCCCGGTCTGGGAATGGAAATTCCTGTCCCTACTGCCTCTTGTCCTTCTAATGGGAATCAGACTCTGGAGGTTCCGATTAGGCACCAACTTGGAGAATTCCCTGAAAATATGCTCAACGTCAGTTGCTGGTACATACATCTAAATGGTATTTCCCTTGCATTTTCCATGTTAATGAGACAAAATATTGGGAAAAAATCATTTGTATAAATTAGAATTTTATAATACGGCCATTTATGGCCAGGTTTAGCATTCTTAAAAGGACTCCACTAGAAGGAAATCAATTATGCTTAATAGATAAAGAGACTTGTATAAAAGCCCAGAGCAAACCAGCTAACTACCTGGCAGGTAGACTCGAAACACTAAGAGCCTTGTAATAGGCTTTAGTGTCCCCACATGTCAGTCACTGATTCCATTCTCCAGTGAGTTCTGTGTCTGAGGAGCCAGCATAGGGAGATTTTGACACACAACATGGGGAAGAATTTAAAACCTCATTGTGCTCCACCCTCCCTGCCTGCCATTTACCTTAGCTGCTAGAGGAAAGCCTAGTCTCCCCCATTTGGAGGGCATATTGGCAGGACCCCATTCATCTTCCTTTAACTTCACATGGGAGGCCCCGTTCACGGGAGCTTTGGCCAGCTGGTCGACCTTCCTCATTCTCTTGGTTGTCTAGCTCTCAGCTGGCTTGGCCACCACTTACTGGCCATCATTGGGATAGGCATGGCTGGCTCCTTCCTGGTCTTGCCCTTCTCTCTTCCTCTTGATCTTGCCCCTCAGCACCCCCCTCCCATTTTCTCTCCTTTGTCATCATCCTTTCCTCTGCAGGGGGTCCAGGAAAATCTCATTGTTGGGTGGCAGCATTGTGACCACGCCCCTGGGCTTGTGATGTCAGTACTTGGCGGTGCCCTGAGAGAGAAGAAAGATGAATGAGGACTAAGTAAGGCTGCTGCATGGGGCTGGTTTGAGCCCAGCACTGGATTCAGAGCAGAACCTGGTCCACAGTGGGGCTGATAGGAAGCTTGGAGTACAGCATGACCAAATTCCTTCACAAAGTCGGATTTTGCATTGCTGATTTTTGAATTCACAACAGGCTAAGTGGAGGGGATTTTTAATTCAGAAAACTGCCCCCCAACAAATTGAAGAAATGTTGAGGGAGGAACCTGACTTATCCCTTTTTTACCAAGCATGGAAATTTGGTGTTATGTATTGTGTCTTTAAGAGATTTCTGTAATGGATATTATTGCCAAAAAAAAGCATCAATTCCAAGAAATGTAAGGCTACATATGAACTCTTAAGTCATATGAAGCCTAAGTCACAGGGGGAAATGACTGGTTACAAGATACAATTGCTGAATTGTTGTCCAATCAACTAAAAATAGTTTTAAACTGGTGGTAAAAATGGAAGATTATGCTATGATGAGAATGGAATCCTTTAAAATAAGGCAGTTACTTCTGCACAAGCATCTCAAGTCTTTGCTCAGGGGGCACCTGGGGGGCTCAGTCTGTTGAGCGTCCTACTCTTGGTCTCAGCTCAGGTCATGATCTCAGGGTCATGGGATCGAACCCCACATTGGGTTCCATGCTCAGTGGGGGGTCTGCTTGAGATTCTCTCCCTCTCCCTCTCTTTCCCTCCTGCCGTTGCCCCCACTCATGTTCGCTTGCGCACATGTGCACACAATCTCTCTCTCTCAAATAATAAATAAATAAAATCTTTTAAAAAAATTAGCCCGCCTCAGATGTGACCCTGGGTGCCCAAGATTGGAATGGGCTTGTCTTCTCACAAGCAGTTTTGGGGCATGGTGAGAATGCTTACTACCAAACGCTATGCATCAGAGTCAAAGGTGAAATTTGAAAATACCCATTCATGAACCATGGGCCACCTCATTCTTTGGGAAAATCCAGAGTTGGAGCCAGCCCTCAGTCTTCCAGACGCATGAAACATGCTAATCCCTTCCCACATCTTTGGATGGGGATTTTGAATCCCCGTGGAAAAGGTACATTTGAAAAACAAGTTCTTATAAGGAAGAGAAGTTTTTTTTTTCTTTCGTCTCTAGTTCATGGTGCCTTAGACAGATTCGTGGTCACTGCAGAGTCCTAAAAAGAATGCTCAAATGTCAAAAGGCTGGGTGGTAGGTTCTAGTAATTGCCCGGGATTTGTACATTGCTTTGTTGACTGGTCATTATGCAACGCAGCACCTTTCAGTAATTCATGCAAATGTAGCACGTTCAGCTGTCCTGGATAAGAGAATGCAACTGGAAACAGCAGTTCCTAAAATATCTACAAATCCTTTCCACTAAATACTAGTGTTTTCTTTTTTTTTATCATTTTATTTTATTTTACTAGTCTTTTCTCTAGTTTCTTCAGATCTTGCCAACCCCTCCTTATGAAAATCTGGGGGCTAAACAATATTCACTTTCTTCTTAAATTATGATTCTCCTCTTCAAAAGTGTACACCAGTGTGCGATGTTTTACGGAGACCAGAAGGGATGTTACCGAAGCCAGCGTGTTCAACGGGCCCCGAGACTTCAGCTCATGTAACAACCTGCCAGCCTCCATAGAATAAGATCACGTAGCTTTGCATATTCCCAACCTTGTGATATCAGGCTGCACGGATATATGCCTGTTAGCCTCAAACAAAGGAAGTAATTTTTGCTAGTCTTCTCTGTAGGTCAGACCACACTTGCAAAACCACATCCAGTGCTGACCATCAGACCTGAGAGCCATAAGGACGGCAGTGGGCCAATTGGAAGGGGACGGTCCAGCATGAAAGGGAAAGCCAAACCACTCTCCAAGTGTTTAATAACAACCAAAGCTGTGTAACCTGCAGAAAAGCCCCATGTAGGGAGTGGGACATGGAGAAATGGGGATCTAATATCAAGGGCTGACATGCAAGAATGCAATTATGTTTGTCTGTAGATTCTAGACAATCTGTGATGGTAATGAAAAGGACCTAAGAAGACAGGTCAGACCCGTGCAGACAACCTGCACTGTGTCTGGAGCCCAGGAGTTCCTAGCTGGACCCCCAGTCGGAAAGGGGCTGTACAAGTTTTCCCAAACATGATGCCACAAGTTGAACTAGAACCCCACTGCTTCTCCCAGCCCTGACTCCATGAATTAGCTCTCTCCTTCTCCCTGTCTTCCAGAGGGAACTGCTGTGTCTTTCGCAAAACTAATGGGGGAATTCTAGGTTAGCAAAGAAACATGAAAACACTAATTCCAGAGGATACATGCGCCCCTATGTTTCTAGCAGCATTATCTGCAACCGCCAAATTATGGAAGCAGCCAAGTGCCCATGGATAGACGAATGGATAAAGAAGATGTGGTATACTGAAACAAATAATGCAATATATGTTAAGAAAAAAAAAGAGGAAGAAGAAGAAGATAGCAGGAGGGGAAGAAGGGGGGGGGGGAAGGGGAGGGGGAGAGGAACCTGGAGAGAAAGGGACTCTGGAAAAACAACCTGGGGGTCCGGGGGGGGAGGGGGATGGGTTAACCTGGTGATGGGTATTAAAGAGGGCACGTTCCGCGTGGAGCACTGGGTGTTATGCGCAAACAATGAATCATGGAACACGACATCAAAAACTAATGATGTGACTATGGTGATTAACATAACAATAAAAAATTTTTAAGGGCGCCTGGGTGGCTCAGTTGGTTGGGCAACTGCCTTCGGCTCAGGTCGTGATCCTGGAGTCCCGGGATCGAGTCCCGCATCGGGCTCCCTGCTCAGCGGGGAGTCTGCTTCTCCCTCGGACCCTCTTCCCTCTCGTGCTCTCTATCATTCTCTCTCTCTCAAATAAATAAAATCTTAAAAAAAATTTTTAAAAAGATGTGGTATATGTACAACAGAATATTACTCATCCATAAAGAAGAAGGAAATCTTACCTCTTGCAACAACATGATGGAGCTAGAGAGCATAGTGCTAAGCAAAGTCAGTCAGAGAAAGACAAATACCATATGATTTCATTCATATGTGGAATTTGAGAAACAAATGAGCAAAGGAAGAAAAGAGAGAGGGACACATCAAGAAACAGACTCTTAACTACAGAGAACAAACTGATGAAGAAAAAAAAGAGAGAGAGAGAGAGAGAGAGAACAAACTGATGGTTGCCAGAGGTTGGAGGACAGACGGGGGAAGCAGGTTATCACCTGGATGGAGGAGGACCCTCGCGATGAGCGCTAAGCAACGTATAGAATTGCTGAACCACTATATCGTACACCTGAAACCAATATAACACTTTATGTTAACTATATTGGGATTAAAATAAAAAACTTAATAAAAAATAAAGTAAAAAATGAAAACATATCTTTATGAAAAAAATAAAAGAATTCTGGCTTAGGCTTCGCTGTACCGCACCAGAGCAATGCACAGAGGAATGGTGGTCTGTGTGGAGACAGGCAAGTCGACGTGGGAACACCGCCCTCGGATTCTGCTGGATTGAGCTTAGCTGCTCTCCCCTCACACACATACACTCCCCTCAGAAGATGACCTGGGTGTTTGGAAGCACAGAAGCCCACTGAGGCTTCTGCCCCCAGAGAAGAGAAGAGACAAGAGAACTCTGTCTAAAGGAATCATAAGGGGGGCGCCTGGGTGTCTGAGTCAGTTAAGTGTCTGACTCTAGATTTTGGTTCAAGTTGTGATCTCAGGGTCGTGAGATCGAGCCCCATGTCAGGCTCCACGCTGGGCATGGAGCCTGTTTAAGATTCTCTCTCTCCCTCTCTTTCTGCCCCTTTCCCTTACCCTCTCTCAAGCAAAAAATAAAGCGATCCTGAAAATAAGCTGGTCTCAAAAGAGTTTGAGAACTCCCCCTGAACCAGATCCCAGGTTCTAGCTGTAAGTAACCCAAGTCCCCAGAGGGAAACTCTATCTTTTCCTCCCAGAACAGTGAGGATATTTAAAAAAAAAAAAATCCCATAGGTCCTTCTGGAATCTGGGGTGTCCTAGGTAGGGCATGGCTCTGGGGAAGTGAAGACTGGATATTCCGGTCTGTGCTCTCTGTCACTTACGAGACCCTGCATGTGTCACCTCAAGACCTCGGTCTCCACACTGGGAAGCGAGGAAGTGGAGATGGAAGATCATCAGCTCTGACCCGTCTGCGATGTGACTTCATGGGGGTACAGATAATCTTGCCCCGCCCGCCCATCCCCCCAAACACACACAGGCATCACTGTCAATCCGGGGTCCGTGGCACCCCTCATCTCTAATCATTTCAAAGGATACAGAGATAGTTTCAAAAGAAGAAATAGATGGGAAATCACTTTAATTTTAAAATAGATAACATCCAGGGCGCCTGGGTGGCTCAGTTGGTTAAGCGACTGCCTTCGGCTCAGGTCATGATCCTGGAGTCCCGGGATCGAGTCCCACATCGGGCTCCCTGCTCGGCGGGGAGTCTGCTTCTCCCTCTGACCCTCTTCCCTCTCGTGCTCTCCATCTCTCATTCTCTCTCTCTCAAATCAATAAATAAAATCTTTAAAAAATAAAAAAATAAAAATAAAATAAAATAAAATAGATAACATCCAGGCGCCTGGGTGGCTCAGTTGGCTGAGCGACTGCCTTCGGCTCAGGTCACGATCCTGGAGTCCCGGGATCGAGTCCCGCATCGGGCTCCCTGCTCAGCGGGGAGTCTCCTTCTCCCTCTGACCCTCCCCCCCCTCATGCTCTCTATCTCATTCTCTCTCTTAAATAAATAAATAAAATCTTAAAAAAAAAATAGATAACATCTTACCAGATACTTTCTCCTCCCCTTGCTCCCTCCCCTGGAAATGTGAGCTTCTTGAATTTCAAATAGGAGGGAGGGGTGGAGGCA